CAAGGCAGTAAATGACCCTGCCTGCTTGATGGTTTGTAGTCATCCTGCATGGCTGCTGAATTGCTCTGTGTGGCCACATCTTCCCTCTGAGGCTCGTGGAGGTACGGAGGGACCACCAACACACACACAGCCCCGGAACATCAGCTGGTGACAGCTTCTCCTGGCTTTGTCTCCATGAAATTGTGTCCCGAGTCCTGAAGTCCTGTTTGCTTCCATCCACGATGGGAAATTGTGCATTGGGTTTTGTCGGTCCTTGTGGATGCCTCGTGTGGCTGCTGGCACCGGGAGGCATTGCCTCCCTCCTTCAGCAGCTGGCCGCACTCAGTGCTGAAGGCTGCGTGATGTGGACTCCCGGGGTTGACACTGAGTCATTCACCTGCAGCGAAAGCAGTAAGCCAGGAAAAGCTTGATTTCCACTCCAGGTGCAGCATCTCCACCTTTGACCCAGGAGGCTTTCTGGCTCGTCAAGACCAAGCATGGAGGAAAACGTCTTTCTAGTGCCAGGAATGTTCTCAACACATTTTACTTTAGCAAAAGCATCCTTCTGCCTGCGAGCTGAAGTGATCCTTATTCTTATGGCATCTCTGTATCACCTCTAGACATGAAGGTACGTACAAACATCACAGATAGCTGACAAGCTGAAGACAATTAGTGCTCATTCTCTCTGACCCCCAGTCACACTGTCTCTGCTGACCTTCTGCTGTTTCTCTGGCTTCCCTCTCACCAGTCTCCCCAATACCATGTTTTGCTGTGAAAACGTTACGAAGTGCAGCTCAGTTCATGAGAAACACAACGCAGTCGGGGGCCCACGTAGCTGTCATGTCACCGCAGGCTGCAACACTCCCCCAGCACAGAGCATCTCCCCAGCTCTGCCATCCCTTTTGCACAGGATGGCTTTTACGAAATTCGCCTCTAGTTACACAAAACAAGCAGGATCCCCTTGGTTTGCAGAAGGACAAATGCTATGAGACTGACCTCGGCCACGGGTGGCTTCCCTGGCTTTCACTTTGCCTTATTTATGGCAGTGTGTTGGAAGTGATCTCTGGGGTGGCCAAAACACCGTGGAGACATCGCAGCTGACCCTGTGGCAGTCAGCAGAGCTATTCTGTGTGCACAAAGCAAGGAAGGACCACAATATTGGGCTGCTTGGAAAAGGTGTGATTAAAGGAATTCTACAGCTTTGTAAGTGTCCGTGTCACTCAGGTATTTTTTCTACAGGGATTGATACTGCTTTTCTGCTTTGTCTTCAATGAATAAACCCTTTCTGTGAGGAGCTGAATGCATGCATTACCATTTTGTCCATTACCAGCCTTAGATTTGCAGGCTGTGAGGCCATTCCTTTCCACAGTGACATCAGCCAGTGGAGAAAGTGATTTATTTTAGCACGACGCGACTCCTTGCAATTGAAGTTATGTTGCTGCAAGAGCCACGGGCTCCCTCCACGGTGCAGAACATTTTGACGCAGTGCAAAGACTCCTCCTTGTGATAACAAAAGAGACATTGAAAGGCGTGCTCAGCAGACCTCCGTCGCTGGTATTAATGCAAGTCTTGGAAACAACCTCACAGGCCTGGGAACCAAGAACTGTGCAGCCGACCACGCTCGCCCCACTTGACCCTACCATGCTCAGGGCTGTGGACTCACGGCTGATGGCCGTGAGCATCAACCCATGTCAATATGCATCCACCTGGGTACCGTTACCTACTATAAACAACAGACTGAGAGTGCTTTAGAGAAAGGCAATGCCTTTTTAATTTCCCTGTGAAGCATCCCGCTCTGCTCTGGACACTGCATAAAGCCGCTCTGCCGTTTCCAAGGTGATGCCTGGAGGTGAAGCCTGTTATATATTCTCTTGCAAGTAGCAGCAGCTGTAGCTGAGAGATGCCCTTGGACAGGCCATTGTTTGAAAGGAGGTAGAAAAAAGACAGAAAGAAGAGATCTATTTGTATCATATTTTAAAGACTGGTAAGAAAAATAGACAAATTAGGGTATTTACTTCATGAGATGGTGAGTGTTTTCTAATGCAGTTCAAGTCCTTGCACCAGGAATGAGCATTGTACCTACACAGTAAACAACAAAATTAATCATTTGATCCTCATTTAGCTCGGTCCTCTAAGGTGATGGTTACAAATGTTGTTTGTGCCTAATATTAAGTCTTGGGTTTCTTGAGGAAGCCTCTGATTTTAAGGTTTCTCACTTGATAAAACAAAAGGCGTATGCTCCTTTCCATGGGCTCCTTAGAGGAAAGGCTTGCTGTGGGTGCAGCACTTGGCCCCTCACTGCCTCTGGGACCTCCTGAAATCTTGGGGAACATTTGTAAACTTTAAAACGTCTTTCTGGAATTTCTTCTGCAGAGTTTTGCCACAAACCAAAAACCACATTTATTTTAAGCTTGCTTTACCCTCACTGGAGTCTTTCTGCTGACCTCCTTCAACTCAAAATTTCATAACAGCCTGTGGTTTTGCAAGCAGTGGATGCTTGGTTTAATAGATACATTTCGCTCCGTGTCCTAAGAAAACAAACAGCTGACCCCAGGAGATGCTTGTCTCCTGTTTGGTTTTCCTTCTGGTGTTTCTGTGGGGAAACTGTAAGCATATACTGTATGCACTTGGATGTAATGGGCATTTCTTTAAAACATTGAAATCTATTCTTGCAGGGCAGTCTTTGATGTCCAGCTAGGTCAGACCAACACCTCGTCTGGGCTGCCTCTGAGCGATCAATGCCAGATATTTTAAAGGAAAATTGATAGAAGCAGCCCCGGGCCTCAGACACGGGCGTTTTGTAGGACACCTTTTCCCCGGGCGGTTTTGCCTTGTCCTGTAGAGTTCAAGATGAAATTACAGGCTGCGAGATGGTAAGCAGCAATACAGCAAGCACGTCTGAATTGCTGTCATCAGCCCATTGAAATGCCTCGGAGGTGGAAACAAGGCAAGGTCAGCCCCAGCCTGACAAAGAAACTCCTGAAGTCTGGAAAACTGGGAAGAAGAAGGATGGATGGAGATGAAGAGAGCTCTGGTCATCTCTCCTCCTCCCTCCAGTCCTCACTGGGAGTGTAACGTGGTTGTGGTCATGCAGCTGAGCACTCACTGAGCTGGAGGTCTTCTCAACAGCGGCCTCTGATGCAATGGAGACTTGTGGAGTCCGGACTGGTGTCTGTGGTTGTTTGGGCAGCAAAAGGAACGAGTAAGCCATCTGCCACAGGAGCATTTTGTTTTGGTGTTAAGACGCGATAGCCAACAAATGTATTTGTGTCTCTGTGAGAGGGGTGGTTTATTCCCCTCCTTCTGGGGCATGAACCCATGGGAGCACCCCGTTCCCAAGGCAGGATTTGCCTTGCAGTGAGAGCACCGGCGGGACTCTCCTGCTTGGCGAGATGCAGAGCACGACCCACGTGGCAAGGGAGAGACGCCGGGGCAAATTTAGCAGCTCACGATTACCTCTGTTAGCACTGCTTAGCCTGGCCCAGAGCGGTGACGGTGCTGCAGGGCTTGGCGTCCCTTCTCCAGCTGAGGGCTGGCCCCGTCCTGGCTTTGCCCACAGCAGGATGGTGACCACACAAGAGCTGCTGGCCGCTGCGGCACGGTGCCTGAACATCAGCACAGGGTGCAGTGAAACCTCTCACTCCACGTCCAGCGGCACAGCGCTGCGTCAGGTCACATATTTGTTATTTGTACCCAGAGAAATTGGGGTGGGGTGTGGCAGAGAAACAGTGGAAGTTTATTTTCCATGGAAAACCATGAAAGCCAGGTGCAAAATCAAAACCACACTGTGCTGTGCAAATCCTAGGCTTACAGCAGCTCTGCTTTCTGGCTGCATAAGAACATGCATATTTATTTGCTGTGCCGAGTTCCAGGCAGCACCGCGACACATCCAGAGGGCACAACACGCGTCTGAGTTAGAGAACCCACCTCAGTTCAGCAGCATTCGTGTATGCAGTCGCTGGCAGATTGTAGACTTACACATTCGTTCTGACTGGCACAGAGAGCACTGAGGAGCACCAAAGCTGTTTCAAAATCAGTCTCTCTTGATGCTTACATCTGTTCATGGAAGTTACAGCGTCTTAATCTGCCCCCAGCTTACTGAACTCCTGCAATATGCTCGTTGTTATTGATTTACAATTCTTCGAAATGTATTCAGGGCTTGCAACAAGGTGCAAGGCAGGCGAGAGCAAAGGGAAAGGCGTGCTGGTGCGGCAGCTGTGGGGTGAGGCCAAGCCCTGCCCCGTCTCGGGGGGGCCGTTGCTGTTGCCCGTACCCCTTCAGCACCCAGCTGCCTACCCAGGGTGGGCTGTGCGTCCCCGTCACTGGGAAGCACGAGTGCAGCCGCACCTCGAGTACTGTGTTCGGTTCTGGGCCCTTCGCTACAAGAAGGACATTGATGTGCTGGATCACGTCCAAAGAATGGCAACGAAGCTGGTCAAGGGTCCAGAGCACAAGTCTTGTGAGGGGAGTGTCTGAGGGAACTGGGGTTGTTTAGCCTGGAGAAGAGGAGCCTGAGGGGAGACCTTATCGCTCTCTACAACTACCTGAAAGGAGGGTGTAGTGAGGTGGACGTCGGTCTCTTCTCCCAGGTAACAAGCGATAGGGTGAGAGGAGAGAGCCTCAAGTTGCGCCAGGGGAGGTTTAGATCGGATATTAGGAAAAATTTCCTCACTGAAAGGGTTACCAAGCACTGAAACGGGCTGCCAGGGAAGTGGTTGAGTCACCATCCCTGGAGATAATTAAAAGACCTGTAGATGTGGCGCTTAGGGACATGGTTTAGTGGTGGACTCGGCAGTGTCAGGTTTACAGTTGGACTCGATAACCTTAAGGATCTTTTCCAACCAAAATGATTCTATGATTCTATGATTTTTGCACTTTTTTCAGAGGGACAGGAGGTCTGGCTGCATATATCACCAGCCAAACCTGCAGGCTATTTTTGAGGCTTCGAGGTGAAACTGGATCAGAACCCAGACTCCAGTTCTTCTCACCCGTCATCCCTCTGGGCCAGCCGATTCCCTCACCTGGTCCAGCGCTGTGTTTGCAGCCAGATGCCACAGCTGACGTCTGGGGTAAGGCGTCACCTGCGCCCCGCTCTCCGGGGAGCGCAGAGCCGCAGTTCGCTGGTGGAGCAGCGGGGAACGCTGTGCTGTGTGAATCGTGAAATGCAAGTCCTGGCAATTAAAAGCTGCCACAGAGAGTCCCTTTGGGAGCATCGAGGTAGAAGGCAGGGTGTGAGGCACACACTGGGCCCGTTGCTTTAAATGTGCCCCAACTATTAATTGCATGATGCAGAGCATGTTCTTATATCACGGCTTTCTGTTGTTACACCAGTTAGTCCAGGAAGTCTTCACGGCATGAAATTGGGTGCTAATTAAATCGCAGTGGCCAGTACCACCGAGGTGTGCTTGGCATCCATGCTGCTGGAGAGGGGATGTTGGACGCGGAAATTGTGTTAGCCTTGGTGGAAGAAGGCTGAGCAAGCGTTTTGGAGTGGTCAGACTATTTAACAACCTATATGTATAGGTATGAGAAGTGGTGACTGCATCTTGCTGGGACTGAAAATAGAAGTGAGTGATTCAAGGCAGCGGGGCAACGTTTGAACAAGCCTTTCGTCATGCTTTTTCTCACCTGTCCATTAGAGCAGGGAGAGTGGCAGAGCGGCTTTGGTGGGCACCTGGTGTCCAGCCAGCCTAAACCACGACAGTGCATTACAGTCACCAAGTCATAAGAGAATATAAAGGATTCAGATGAAGAGTTTTTAAATCCATGCAGGAAGAAGATGGTGTCCATCAGAGAGCCCGTCTGTCTGCAGAAGAAGTTAGAATATTTTGCAGCGTGTGTCAGGTCTCAGCTTTCACAAACACATGGCTCAGTGTTTATGGCTTTTCGGAGCTAGGTTACTCTTCAGTTAATCCTATCTAGACCTGAACGGCTATGTCAGTCCATTTCACAGAAATAAAACTGATTGAATTTCAAAAAGAAAGGGCCATGTTCAAAGTTGTCGACCAGGATGTGTAATGCTGAGAAGCCGCAGGCTCTAATCAGATACTCACCAAACTGCTGCTGAGCCAGGTACCTGTCACTTGCAAGGAGTGGAGCTCGTGGAAGTAATAGTGAGCTTTCCCCTGAAACCCATCCTTCTCTGCTCCACTGATGCCATACTGCACCTTCACCTTCCCCATCTCTAAGCAGCCTGTGCAGGGACGAGTGTCCACCCGGCAGATTTCGGCGCCTGTGGCCATGCACTCTTTTCTCCAGCCCGGGTGAGAGCTGCCTGCACTTTGTGAGGTGTCCCTGCTGCCTCTTCTGGTCTTCCACCAAAAAGCACATCTCCAGCAAAGAGCCAAGCATTTTTGGGTGGGAAGCCATAAATGTACCTGGCAGAGCAGATCACCAGGGGGAAAGTGGGGAACCCAGCCAGAGAACGGGGCCAAACCCCTCTCTCACTACCAAGGGACATTGTCACGGGAGCTCCTCTCGAGGGCTTTCCCATGCTGAAGTGGTGACTTCTCTCTCCCCACCTCATCAGCCCATGCCCTTCAGGGAGAGTGGCAACCAAACTTTTTAATTATCTGGACTTCCATCAGCTCCAAAACCCTCCGGACTGGTAGAAATCCCCACCCCAGGAACATGTCCATCTCTTGCTCGACCAGGTCAGGCCAGAGAAGGGAGCCCAATGCCTCCTCCGCAGTCGATGCTGGCTTCCAGCCCTGCATAGGGACGGACCACGGCGCTGCTGGTGAGGAGCCGCGGGCGGAAACACCGACACATTTTGTGCAAGAATACAGACATTTTATCCTAAATCTTTAAGGGTCTTTAAACATCAGGATAACTTCAGAGGTGTCGGTTTGCAAACCCTAAGGAGAGCATGAGAGAGGTGAAAGTGCTTCTCTGTGTGGTGGCGTGGCTCAGGGCAGACGCAAGCCACCGGCACCTGGCTGCGGCCGTGACTCGGGCTGACAGAGTGCAATTACCTGAACTGGCATTTCTCCAGGACCCCAGGATTAACGATCAGGTTCTCATAAGAAGTGTCAGGAAACCTATTACCTCCCCATAAATGCTCAACAACATTTTAGGAAGTTAATTTATTTTCCTCTCCTCCTCTCTTCTGCAATTTGCATTATCAGCTGCTAAATATATTACGGCACGCCTTACCCACTTCAAAGACCTCCCTGTATCAATTTCATAAGTAATTCGCTACTTGATCTTATAACTCCAGCACATATTGTCAACCATAGGAATTCTATTTCAGTCCAAATCACCATCCTTTTGAAAGTTAATATCCATTATTTTCCTCTAGGAGAGTTTCATCTGCTCTGCAGCAGTAGAAAGAAAATATTTTGGTCTAACTGGAACCATTAGGTGGAGATCTGTGTAATGGAGACATCCCAGTGCTGCCCATGTATCTCTCCGCTGGAGCTGAGGTCATTTGGAAAATACGAGTTTTCACTTTGTTCATCTCTGGTCTCTAAACTGAGGCATAATTTCTTTTTCCACATGGACCCTACAGTAAACAGATCATCATTTAAGCACATCTGGCATCTTACCTCCAGGAACAAAATGCGAATTTATAGCACAGGGGTCCTCAGATCCTCGGTGGCCCATGGGCGAGCGATGCGGTGGCATGCACCACAGCACCAGTGACCGACCGCCTGCTGTCACAAGCAAACCCGTAGGATCCTGGCACCTATGCACAACAACCAGCACCGAGAAATCTCTGCTGTCTTGTCTACTGAGAACAGTCATAAAGCTGCCTTCCTGCATTTGGACCCTTTTTGCGATACCGGTTGGATATATATGAACCGAATGTGCTAGCCCGTGGCAGGGTTCTTGGAAAAAATAGCTTTCAAAGTGCTCTGATGTTCTAAACAGAGTCTGGTCTTTGCCCCTCCAAGCAGCAGTGGCAATATTTTATGGCGTTGGAAGACTCTTGTCCTTCCTCCAGCCAGAGGATGAGGAAAATGGCTTGTCTGGCCTTTGCTCCTGGACTGGTCCACGCCGACAGCGTGTCTGGCAAAGCCACAACCAGCTCACCGGCGGTCGAGACCCCGACACGCCAGGGCAAGGGGAGACACTGCTTCTCACCAGCCACCACCTTGAATGGTGCTCAGCTGTTTGACAGAGAATTTAACACGGCAACAAAATAAATATGAATTAAAATCAGCATGAATTGAAGTAAATCTGAGCTAGGAGGGGAGGAATTCCTCTCTGGGCCCAGCACAGGCACTCACAAAGCCCCACATGCTACCATGTGGGGAAGTCAGCAAGAGCTGCATGTTGTGGTATCAGTGTTCTGCACTGGGCTATCACAATTATAAATAAAAATGCTTTCCAAGAAAATACTTAGTTCTTAAAGAAAAAGATTTTTCTTCTGAATTGTGATGCCTCGGGATAGCTCTTCATTTCTAGGCTGCCCAGAAAACTCCAAGAGGGGCCTTATTTACTTTCTTTACAGATATTTTCAGAATTTTTTCTTCAATGAGAGGCAGGAGGATCTTCTCCTCCTGGGTGAGCAGGATTTGCAGCCAAGAGGGGCAGCACTAAGACCACAAGCCACGACCACTGTGCTGCGAGGTTGCCAACCCCGGGAGTCCCTTCAGGGCTTGCGCCAGGCTGTACTTCTCCCTTTCCAGCACTGGAGAATTCCAGGAGCTGGGAAGCTCCCGACGGGGTCCCAGTAGGCTCCACTGCTATGTTTAGCGCTAAATCCAAACTGCCCTTCTGTGAGATGTATCATTTTGCTGTTCAACTGTCCACCCGTCTGTTGGCCAGGCATTTCTCCTCTTATCTCATGTGTAAAACAGAAGGTAAGATGTCAGTGTGATGCCTGGCTCACAGCTGAGCACTGAAGAAAATAAAGAACGACAACTACACATTTTGACATTTGCCATTAACCTTGAACGATCCCCTTCCTCTCATACTGGGCCTGTTATTGCTATATACTCCAATATACTAAATACTTGTGTTAAATCCTCTTTAACAGTCCCCTCGTTAGCCTGAATAAAATCAGCTTTCTTCCATATGTCCCATCAAGATCCCTAATCATCTCCATTGTTTTTCTCTTGGCTTCCTTAATATTATCAGTACACAGTTTCAACAGGAATTGCCAGCTTCATCATCTGCTTTGATAACAAGTGTTTAATAATTGCAGGTGTAATTATTCACTGACAAAATTTGCTATTGAACACTAATTTCTTCAAATTACTGAAGACATAAAGCAAAAATAGACTAGTTAGAAAGACATTCATTTCTAATCAGGTTTCCTTACTGTTGTTTAATGAACAAAATCTTCAACCCAGTATTCCAATAATATTTTGTTACAGTATCAAAAAAAAGCCAACAGGATGCTGGGTTGCATCAACAGGGCATCGCCAACAGACATAAAGCTCTACTCAGCGCTTGTCAGGCCACACCTGGAATACCGTGTCCAGTTTTGGTCCCTGCTGTGCAAAAAAGACGTGGATTGGCTGGAGACAGTCCAGAGAAGGGCTGCAAAGATGATCAAAGGACTGGGGAGCCTGCTGTGTGAGGAACAGTGGAGAGAACTGGGTTGGTTCAGCCTTGAGCAAAGAAGGCTTAGGGGAGACCTCATCACCATGTTCCAGTAGTTAAAGGGTGGCTACAAGGAAGATGGAGACTCCCTTTTTACACGGAATCCCATGGAAAAGATGAGGGGTAAAGGGTGCAAGTTACTGCTGGGGAGATTCCAAATGGACACAAGAGGAAAATTTTTCACAAGGAGAGCAATCAGTCATCGGAATAAACTCTCCAGGGAAGTGGTGGATTCCCCAGCACTGGGCACTTCTAAGGTTCAGCTGGACAGGGTGCTGGGCCACCTTGTCTAGACCCTGCTTTTGCTTTTACCAAGAAAGGTTGGACCAGATGATCCTTGAGGTCCCTTCCAACCTGTATTCTACAATTCTGTGATAAGAAAAATAAAGCGAATGGTGGCTTACATGCACATACACTTTGGATTTTGGTTAGAAACACTAATCCCAGACCTCTGTCAGGAAGTGCGTCCACACCAAAACGGTGCAGCACCAGCCAACAGCATATTTCCCCACCCTGATTTACATGTTTTGATTATTCCCACTCCCACGAAAATAGGGAGACACAGCACAAAACCCCGAACAAAAATTTGGACACAAAACCAAGTCCCCCCTGCACTCTCGCCTCCTCCCTTCTGTGAGGTCAGTGCATCTGAGGGGACATTTCCCAGGTGTTTCTGATGGGAACAAGACCCTTTCCAGAAGAAATCTGGCAGCGGGGCGCAGCTCCCCAAGCCATGCGGGGCAGGTTGGCGCCGGACAGTCTCTCCCGCGGGATCCAGGGTGATGCAGCTGCAGCACGCGAGGTCGGAGCAGCATAACTGGGTTTGGGGAGGTGAGCTCCAGCCCTGTGAGCCCTGCCTGCCCAGGAACAAGCCAAAGCTGTGCTGTCAAACACCACGCTTGCGCTAGCGACAGCCCCAGACTCTTCTGAAGTGTTGGAGCCAAGCTAACACAGGCTTTTGTGTCCTAGTGAACTGCACTGTGTCCGGGTCTGGCCAGCCATGGCTCCGGGCGTCCGTACGGCAGGGAATGGGGGATGCGCGACACAAGCCCAGGACCGCAGGTATTTCCCAGCCTATAAACACGAGATGTTACCCCTGGGATCTCCCAGATGTTAAGGATACAGGCTTGTGGGTATCTGCTCATTCAGATGTGGAAGTCCAGTGGGATGAGCAAGGAGGTTAGAGTCTTACTCCTCTCCAGAATATCTAAGCATTGGAAGTTCATCTGTAAAATCAGTGTACAGGATAGTATAGATATATAGATGCATACACATTTATTTTCAAAATAATTTGAAAATAAACTTTGCCAGGCATCCTAACAGACATGAAATAACAATAAAAAGAATCATAGAATCATAGACAGGAAAAGACCTCTAAGATCATCAAGTCCGACCATCCACCCAACACCACCATTCCTACTAAACCATGTCCTGAAGTGCCACATCTACACGTTTTTTGAACACCCCCAGGGATGGGGACTCCACCACTTCCCTGGGCAGCCTGTTCTAATGTCTGACCACTCTTTCAGTGAGGAAATTTCTCTTAATATCTAATCTAAACCTCTCCTGATGCAACTTGAGGCCATTGCCTCTCGTCCTATCACTGGTTACTTGGGAGAAGAGACCAACA